AGGCAGTGCGCCTGCTGGATCACTGAGTCCAGTTTGAAGATGTTCCCGTTCCCTCCTTTCGGTATGACGGGTGCGTCGGGCCCTTAGGGTCCCGTCTGAAGCTGTGTGAGCTTCAACTTCAAATTCATTCTCAGTATCGTGGTCCGACTGAACTTGAGGGTCGTCTAGGGGACGCCTCTCTTCAGGAGTCGGTATAGACGTGGATGCCATCTCAGAAGTACTCTCCCCACAGACGGCGCCAAAATGTTTCGGGGTTTTCTGATGTCCTGCGGGAGAGTTACAATTCCGAGACTGGAACCAGACGCCTGTACCTGCAAAACAAACGGATGCTCCGGATGATTGGAGATCCGCCTCCGACGGTCAAGTTAGTACTTGATTAAGGAGTAATTAATGCGGAAATTAAAGTGATTGGGTCTCTCTAGGTGAGAGTGTTTAATGTGCGTAATTCCCCTTAATGAGGTTTAAGGGAGGTATTTATAACCTTGGGAAACGTGTCAATCCTAGGTTTAGGTTAACCTTGGGCTGATTGGGCTTCCCTTGGAAGTTGGGCCTAGGTGGCCGGTTTCTCCATTAGGCATGGAGGATGCCACGTGTCATGACATAATAGGTCCAGGGTGGACGAATAGGCGTGTGCCACGTGGCAAGCCCTGACAGTTCCAACTGGAGGGCACTTGGCAGGACCTGATTGGCCCACGTGGCACATTCCGATTGGTGGGAGCAAAATCCCCTAATCACCTGTCTTTCGAAGGAGATAAAAAAAACTTGTCTGGTGATAAACCCTTTCTTTCGAGGGAGACATTAAATTAACCTAAGAAATAAAAAGCTTAAAAGAAATAAAGATTGGGGCTTTTCACCGGTTGAAATCCGATGGAAGCCCCTTCAATATTTACAAAGGATGCTAGAGGTTAGGGGAGAGAGAGGAGGCTAGGGTTTTTTTTTTATATGATATTATGAAACTTTATATTAATTATTTAGCAATAAAATTTATATTTTATACAAAAACTAAAAACGATGGTCAAAGTAAATATATGAATAGTGAAAAAAGTCAAACGTGTCAATTATTTAGGAATGGAGTGAATATTTTGTTTATTTCGTAGGAATTATAATACAAAGTTATGTAGTCATATAGAGTGTAAGTAGAAAAAAAAAACACTAAGGGCCTGTTCCGATTTAATGAAGACAATTGAACTGAGCTGAACTGAACTGAACTGGTTGGGGCTGAAATGAATTGTTTATGAGAGAAGGAAAATAGGAACTGAACTGAACTGATTGGAGGTGAAGTGAACTGAAGTGAACTAAATTAAGCTGAACAGAATAGGCCCTAAGTAAAATTTGAGTCTATATATGAACTCAAATATATTATAAAACTAGTTTAAGTCCCGTGCAATGCACGGTTGTTATTAAATTTTATAAAGAGTTATTGTATTGAATTTTATAAAAAAAAATTATACTCATAATACTAATTCACAAATAAATATAACTTTAATTTTATACCTAGCTCTACCAATGTCAAGATTAGTGACTTAGGGCCCATTCCAATTTACTGAAAACAATTAAACTGAACTGATTGGGGCTAAACTGAACTGAACTGAACTGATTGGAGCTCAAATGAATTGAACTAAATTATTTGACTATGGATTTATGATTTTTAACTATGGATTAGTAATGATAGTAATCCACTAATAATTATGAAAATTAATATGAAGTTCAAAATTAATCCACTAATAGTTTGTTTTTTGTTTGTTTAAAAAATGAAACAAAAACAAACAAAAAAAACGAAGAAAATATCCAAAAATAAAAAAATGAAAAAAAAGGAAACAAAGACCGAAAACTACGCACTTCCATTCCAAACCAGAAAAAAAAAAAAAAAACACCTCGCATTTCCATTTTTTTTCTCCTCACTTCGCTAGTACACATCGCCCTACACGCCCTTCATCTCCGTCCTCCGGCCACCCTAAACCCAAAAAGCTCTTTCATCTGCGGCTACTATAAGCTAACGTTTGACGCTTCCATCTTTCTCAGTCGTTCTAAAAAGTATGAAATTTGGCTTTAATTATCATTAGCAAAATCATTAGACATAAAGATGAAGTTAAAAAGATCATCCCAAAGGCATGCCTAAACTAAATTGTCATTAACAATATCATTAGCTAAATCATATAAAACAAATAAATTATGATTGGAGCTGAGCTGAACTGAAATTAAGCTGAACAGAACAGGGCCTTAGACTTGATTTTTTTTTTTTTTTTAAAAAAAAAAAGTCTATTTATGAGGTTTTATTTAGAAAAAAATAAAATTCTAAGGATAGTACCCGCGCGTCTGCTACTATTATTGATATAACTTTTAAGAGTAGAAAATGAAGTGTACATGTATGTGTTAACAAAATGATTTTACTTTTAATTGAATTAAATATTATTGAAAAAGTAACAAAATTGGAAGAAAAAAAAAGTTAATAGTATTATCGAAAACTAAGATAACATAGAGCACTATTATTCAATAATATTTACCTAATATACGTTCATTGTTTTACAAAAAAAAAATAACTAAAGTAAAACATTACGTATATGTAAAATATATTAGTTGGGTTTATATGGAGAATTATTATTGTTAAGAATTTTAATTGGAAGAAAGATATTTTAGATTATTATAAAATAATTTCCTTAAATTAAGAATCTGTGTAAAAACGAAAAGTAAAATGGGCGGGAAAATTTTTAACCAGGGGATAACATGTATCATTCCTAATTTCGCTTTTAGTATATAATTATTGATAGCTACTCTTTAACCCTTGGCATGATCATTGAAATTCATTACATTAGGGAAAATAAGGTACTTTCTTACAACACTTTAACAGGCATGGAGTTTTATGCATTCGATTGAGTTGAAAGTTGTCTAGGAGTTAGAATGTCCTTTGTATTAGGCGATGAGGTTGCCATCTTTAGCCATAATTATGCACATGAGAAAGGGTTAAGTATTATATCAGATCAAATCTATAACTATAACTAAAGTAATTACCGCTGACATCATAACTACCCACTTGTCAATCTCTAATAAAAAATTTCCTGCCAAAACACTTAGTGACATAATAATTTATTTTATATATGGTGTATGAATTTGGGGTTTTCACTCTTTATTTGATTCATCAATTTATTGTATTTTGCTTAAATTATTTATACTACGTATTACACACAAATAAGCCATTTTTTTTTTTTGTAAAATCATGCATCGCACGAGGCTAACCTAGTAAAATAATAATGGAGTTTCGTGAACAAATTAATTGCTGAGGAGTTTGAGAGAAAGAGCCCAAGAACCCTATGCTGTCTCGAATGAGATTGGTTTGCAAAATGGGTGGTAATTATTGGACAACTACTTGTATGAGTAAATACAAAAACAAGGTACTGATGTTTGACAAAAGTTGCAAACAAGGTACTCAAGTTTCAATAGTTTCAAAGAAGGTACTGAAACCTTGATTGTAGGTAAAAAATCCAGTGTCTACTTGTTCCAACCGGTTACCTCAATTTCTACCTTAAAAAAAAAAAAAAAAAAAAGCTAAGTTGTTGCATTGGAAAACGAAAAACCATCTACAAGTTATCGCAGCCACCTTAATCAATAATGGAATTTTCATCAAAATTTAGGGATTTCACTTTCCCCACCCAATTACAGAACGATAATTCTCCTCAACGAAAAGGCTCTAAATCGCGGCGGCGGCGGATTGCATGGCGGCAGGAGGGTGTGTGCGGTGATTAGAGAGAATATAGGAGAGAGAATCGAGAACCCCACGAGTTGACATGAGAGAATTTTTACAGGAAATTGAGAGATTAAGCAGAGTTGCAGCAACGTTTTCTTGCGCTAATGGTGTAGGAGAGTAAAGGGTTTCAGCGAGCAGAGAGATTGCTGCACTTTTGTCTTCTTCAGCGATTATGGGTCGAATTTCTAGGTCGGTTTTGGTGAGTAATCGGAGCTCACAAAGTGTTGCGATTCGGGTTTGATCTGATACTGAACTTCGTCTTCTTCAGCGGTTATGGGTCGAATTTATGGGTCGAATTATGGAGAGGAAGAGAGAGAATTTGGAGTTTATGGTGGCAATGGTGTTTGTCTTTGGAGTTGACGGTGAGGGGGTGACGGTGGAATTGGTGGTGGTCTGGTGTTTGTTTTTGAGTGAAGAATAAGATGCTAAAGTACAGAGAGTCAGAGTATGGTAGAAGTGGTTAACGAAGGAAGGAGAGAGAAGGTGAATTAAAAAAGTCGTGAAGTTATAATTGTCACCAAACATTAGTACCCTCTGTTATTATGTTTTTTTTTGCAAATGGTAACCTGTTGTAGTAGATGATTTTTGGGTTGAGTAGTCTAAGTGCAACTTTTGAAACTTGAGTATCTTAACTGTAACTTTAAACAAACATTAGTACCTTGTTTTTGTATTTACTCCTACTTGTACAGCTAAAAGTGGATTTAAAAAGTCAACTCCGCCTAATAAGGTGTACGTTGACGCACAACTATCATACCATTGTTGTAGAAACAAGATTATACAAAACTAGTTCACTTCAAGACATGCACAGATCAATAGATTATGTTAATTATCTCTTACGGAGTAGTTAAATTTATAAGCATGGTTGTTTGACTAGCTTCTTCACCTGAGGCAGCAATAATTCTGTTGGTTGGTTGTGCACCTACCTTGTTTAAACATCATAGCTTTTATTCTTTTCCAACAAACTGAGCATCATAATGTTGCTCTAACGTGTTATAATAATGCCCCATATTTAATTATCATGGATTCATGGTTATAACAATTTTCGTGTGTTAATGTGTTATCCTATTGTTGGCTAATTTGACTGTTAAGTAATTTAACCCATTTTAACCATTAAATTACACATGCTTTCATTCGCTGGGGTTTACACTACTCTTTCGTGGTATCGATCTTACAAGCTTGTCCAATACCGGACAAGGGGCGTTACTTCCAGAGGGGATGGGGGGATATTCGTATAATTTAAGAAATAAGTTGAATCGGATAGACAAGAATGAAGAGGCAGTATTTACTATAAGTAATAAGCTAAATCGACTACTAATACAATCTCATACAACATAAGTCTCACCCCAGAAAGATAAACTAACCCTCAAAAATCTCACAAAATAAAAAAATGAATCCATCTGATCGAATGTATAAATCCAAATACAAGAGGGCGGGTACAAAATGACATCCAATATTACATAAATGAAATTAATATCGCGACAACATATCCCAGGGAAAAACCGAAAGCAGCTGATTCTCTTAAAATAGCAAGGCAAGGATAGCACATCCAGAAACCAAGCATCCAATCAACTTTGAAATGGACCACATCTTTTCTACTCCACTCTGCATTACATTATCAAAGATACCATTAACATCAGCTTCTAGTGAGTATATGCAATAATGGTAATATTTCTTGAAATCTGATGTCAATTTATGAACATATAACAGTATATTTACTATTAAAAGAGTACTACTCACATTAAATATATGAATGAATTGAGAAAAAATGTCAAAAAATGAATATGGTTGACAATGGTACTTAAGAAACATTTGACTTTTCTGTATATGATCACTAGATTGTGGGCCTTATCACTTTTTACAGGCAACATCCAACTAAAGATAGTATGTTTCTCCAAGAATCACGAGTTGTATCTTGTTAGTATTGAATGTCATGTATATACTTGTGAATGTATGCAATTACATACAGGTATATCAGCAAGAAACGTCTGAGCTGAGAATAGACACTGCCAGAGGCGATTCCATGACATGGAAATTCAAGAAATGGTGATTATATGCCTTCAAAGCAAAGACAACTAACCTATCTGTTAACCTGAACGAATCATTCTAAAAATGAGATCATAACTAACTGTGTTTCATAATGTTCATGAATCATGACTTTGATTTTGATACGATGCCAAAAAGTAGCATCCAAGGTCAGCTGATAGGCCCAAAGACTATAATCTCCGTCCCTCATTATCATTTAGCTACTATTTAATCACATAATTGCTACCTAACATATTTTCTCAAAGTACTGTTATTGTATGTAAATCATACATGGATTGGACCAACCAATAAATTCACTTAATCACCCAAATAATCAAGTCATAGATTGGTAGTAATAGTATCAAATGAATCTTAAGATCCAACTAGTTTAGGCATCAATCAATCTTCATTTGAAATGATCAATTCTTAGAATATAATCCATCTATTTTATCCTTCTACGCCACTAATATGTCATTATTATAAAAAAAGTTGGACCCTACACCTCTCGATCAAAAGATCCAATAAACACTACTCTTATTGAGTCATCAATCCTCATCAACAGGCATGCAATGCACCAATTGTTTCTAAAGATTAGAGGATAGATTACACATCAAAAAAATGAAGTGAAAACATAACAACCAAAGTCACTTTCATGCAAGCTAGTAAGATGTAGGACCTTATAATAAAAGAAAACAAGCACATGTTAATGCAAAAAAAAAAAAAGGCAATAAGATGATGTTGTACCAGCAAAATCATGTCAATAGCACATGGTTAATTCATCACAAATCTAAACCAATCATCCAATTTTCGTGGGCCCGCTTGTGATTCCCTTAAAAGCTAAGCAAAGTTCTCTTAATCTAGGGATCTTCAATGTGGCAGCTAACAACTGGAAGGATTATTACTTAAGCGATACTAAAGGCTTTACCATGTTTCACATGATGATAAAAAGTTTTATTATATGGGTAACGAAAAAGGTATCTTATGTTGCTAATTAAAGCAATTATAGTTTAGTATATCTATAATTAGCAAGTTAATTAAACATTTTTTTGGCATCTCATGTTGTTAGACAACAACATTTTACAAACTCGTGAAGCTAATTTAAGAAAAGCAAAAACTCGATCACATCTAATGATCCAATTTCCTTTATAATTTCGAATCTAAACTTAGGACGCTTAACAATTTCTTATAATAATTATCTCCTTGGTGTAGATTTAAGTTTTGTGATTTAAATGGTAAACAGTCCTAAAGTAAGATAGTGTCAATTTAATTTTACAAGTCCGTACAATTAAAGTTCAAGGACACTAGGCCAGCATCATCATTAATGTCAGTCAACCAATTTTACATTTTTTCTATTAAAGGCTTAAGTTTTATGGAAACAAACATGATTAATGCACTAATTAATAATTGTACTAATGCAAACTTTTGGATAAACATTGAATATGTGAATGACAAAAAATTTGTTACAAATTTACAATGTCTACATTGCCACAAATCAAGCCTGTGTCACACAAATTTAGAATGATGATGAATCAATGGATCTTAATCCTTAATGATGCAATATTCTTAAACCCAGGCCAATTTTCACATACAAAACATCACCATATTGATAAACGCTTAATTGAATTTATGAAGAAATTAATTGGGTCGATAACTAGAATTTACTCCCCATTTCCTAAACTCATTGCATTAAGTTATTGTACATCCGTCTCATATAAGATTTTTATCGAACAAATGGTGGCACGATCATTAATCATTCCCAAGCATATTTTTCCATGTAATCAATATTAATTAGAAGACCAATGAAGACACATAACTAGTCCCAGAGTACTGATCTCTCAGATTTAAGTACGTATTTGACTACATTTTATTATGTCGGTGTACATTTGACTTCAGCCAACCCTGAACCCTCACCCCTTTCCACAAATAACTTTAGATTAAAATGAGTAACACACTGCCATTCAATTTAATACATTTCTAAATTGTTACTCCCGACTCTAAAAGTTCTTCCCATATTTAGAAATAGTATTAATAAAACAATGCACCACAAAATTACGCGAAGTAATGTGATAATGTAGAGCATTGAGGCAAGTGATTTATGTTAGGATCAAGGAAGGACAAAAAAAGATACCCGACAAGAATGCAGCATGATAAGCACAACAACACAAAGATCAACAAAGTGATCCGATCGAATACAAACCAAAAGTAACACTAGTGTAACACCAGATCTAACACTTAGATCTGAACAGCAGTACAGCACTACACAACAATACACGTATAAATATAAATTAAATAATCCACTCTCCCTCAGATCTTTTATGGTCCGCACCATTTATTTACTTTTTATGTAATTTTTACTCCCTAAATAATATTTTTAATTGCTTATTAATAAAAATTATTAGACCTATTATTTTGAAAAATTATATCAAACAAATTTTCATGTGATTATATCATGCTTATTGATCATTAACTCCGAAAAAAATATGAACAAATAAGGACGGAGGTCGTAGCTGTGAAAATGTATAATACCTGATCATCGGTATCGGACGAGGCAGGTCCCAAACTAGGTCCAGGAGATTGAGCACCTCCCATACTAGGGCCAGGTGCTTCGGAAGGAGGAGATGGTGGGGAAGAAAGCAATGGAGATGGCGCAGCCGCAACCGGTGACTTAGCCGGTGCAGCCACTGGTGTAACAGCGGGTGGGGTGGCTGCTGGTGGTGGGGTAGCCACTGGTGGTGGGGTAGCCACTGGTGGTGGGGTGGCTGGTGGTGGGGTAGCCACAGGTGGTGGGGATTGCTGAGGGGCTTGAGCCACTGGTGGGGGTGATTGGGTGGTGGATGGTGGTGGTGCGTTGGTGGGTGGTTGGGTAGCTTGAGGAGGCTGGCTAGCTTGAGGTGGTTGGGTGGCTGGGGGAGGCTGGCTAGCTTGAGGTGGTTGAGTGGCGGGTGGTGGTTGGCTAGCTTGAGGTGGTTGGGTGTTAGCCGGTGGTGGTTGGGTGTTAGCCGGTGGTGATTGGGTGGGTGATGCAGCGGGTGATTGACCGGTTGCGACGGCAATGGTAATGCAGATGAGGCCAAGCAATAGCGTGGCCTTGAGATCCATTGCTTTAAACCGAACTCGAAAATAGGTGACCAAAAAACTAGCAAGACTAATAGAGAGTAAAGTAGAGTAGTAATGTTAAGAGTGAGAGAGTGAAGAGAGAGCGGCGGAGAAGAAGTAAAGAAGGAGAAGGCTAATAAATAGTGATTTGAGAAACGGAAAGAAGAGAGAGGGGAAGAGGGGGTAGCGTAAGGAAGATTCGAGTGCAGCTGAAAACACTTGATCACATGGCACTAGTAGTAATTAAAGAGTACCAACCAAAACCAAAACAAATATTTTTGAGAGGTGGGCCTGGGCTATTGGTGGCCCAGGTTGGGATGTCTCATCTTAAATCTTAAGCCATACATTTATGCATTTACTCTCTCATAAGATTATACAATAATATACTCTCAATTATACTTGTAACATGTGTATCGTTTTTATTAGGGTGTTTGGGGTTTTCAATTGATTACTACTTCTATTATTACTTTTGTATGTAGATGGATATGCCCATATTTTGGTACATAGGATCCGATTTTATAAATTAATAATGATTACACTATATTTTTGTTTTATATTTGAGGATTTTGGTTGTGAAAATTTACAGTAATTTATAAAAGAAGCTTGTATATAATAGACTAATGGGTGTATTGTGTACAGTGATCATAATTTCTCACCCCTAATGTGATTTGAGTTGAATTAATAATCTTTTATTTACCATATATTCTAATATCAGTGTAATTTTTTTTTCCTTAAGTTATTTATTGGAACTTATTTGCCCTAAACTTACTAAAACTTTTCATTTTTAATTGTAAATTAGGTTTATGAAAACCTATTGAACTTGAATACTCTTATTTTATCAAAGTTTATTTTTTAAAAGCTTTAACTTATTTGGAATTATTCACATAAATACGTTGATATAAGGTAAGGTGAGCATAATTTATTTACCAAAAGATAAAATTGAAAACAATAATCTCAACTTTGCTCGATTTACTCAAAACAAGCCAACTAACCCCTTCATTCACCCTGAAACCCGCCCATAAAAACCTCTATCCACCTGTTCCGTCGTTGACGAGCTAAACTCACCCAAAAAACTAGCAACCTACCCCCTTAACTTCACCTCCACCACTCGAAAACCTCACCCCCAACCCCGTAAGTTCACCCTCACCCACTCAAAGAACCCACACAACCGTAAAAACACTTCCACCCTCCCAAAAAACCCACATTCCCATATAATTTCATCACCACCCTACCCCACCACCGATTAGCCACCTCCACCCACGAAAACCCACCCCGACCCCTTAAATCCACACCCTTGACAAGATTTAAGAGATAGAAAAAGGAAAACAAAGTGAAATAGAGGTGGTGGGAGGGGTGGAGCTGGGTTAAGAAGGAATAGGGGCGCTGGAGAAGGGGAAGAGGGCGGCAGTTATGGTGGGATGGTGGTTATCCTAGTTGGGTGGTTGTAGTTATGGTGGGAAGAGGGTGGTGAGGTGGAGGAGAAAGATTTTTTTTTAAAAAAACAAAAAAATTAACCTGTTAAACAGGTTATAGGTAAAAAGGTTTGTTTCGAGAAAATAGAGGATAAAGATGGCTTGTTACCAACGCAAAAGTGGGCTTGTTTTGAGCAGGTCGAGCAAAGGTGGGATTATTATTTTCAATTTTTCCTTACCAAAAACTAAGATTTAACATTTTATAATTTTCAATTAAAAATAACTTTTAATATTCACATTAGACCATGCAAAAATTGAGAGAGCCACACTTTTAGGAACAAAGAAATTAAGTGCTATATATCATATAGATTGATAGATGCTTCCTTGTTTTTTTAATTGTTCCACTTTGATTGTTCATGTTTGTCAATGCACATTAATATTTAACCCTTAATATTATGAATTTTCAATTTAAAATTTGTCGAAATTTAATACTTAGAAACTATTTGTTGAGCTTAATCTAATAACATCCAATCATTATATATAACCAATGATGGTAAAAGTTAAGTATGTAATTGGTGTCAATAACCATATGGTACATACAAATAATAAATATGGAGGAATTATTTGTAAATGGATATATGCTCAATTTAGTTTGACTTATTTTGTCCGAAAAATTATCTAAACTTATCTTAAGTTAATTGTATGAACTTACTGTATGTGAACCAAGACAACATAAGATAATATACTTAGAAGCAATAGGTACTCATTCATATAGATTAACATGTAGTCTCGTAGAATCACATGTACTTGTTAAACTCATATGAGCTTTACACCATGTAAGAAGTACTATATAGTTTTTTTTTTTTTTTTTTTTTTTTTTTTTTTTTTTTTTTTTTGTTTTTTAGTTTAGGAAAAGTACTATTTAGTATAAATTAACAACGACTTGTACTAATAATATAGAAAGGTTATTTAAAGAATGCTTTAAGGATTACAATTTTCTTTTTCAAAGGAAAAAAAAAACAAAGAATCTCTCCTAAAATAAAATAGATTTAAGCATTGCTTTCTTTAAGAAAGGGAGAAATTAATTTACTTTGGTTAATAAATTGTAATTGAGGCATCTGATTGCGCCATCTTGTGGGACCAATGCTGGGGTGGATGGATCATAATAAGATGCCCCCATAATATTATGGATCATTATCACAAAGCCACGTAAATAATGCACCGATTTAATTAGGTGTTATGTCTGTCTATGTTTGGTACTTATGTGATGTTTTCTGCCCATTATTAGTTAGGAACTAGTTTTCATAGGGTACTTGTATACTCTTCAAACATGAGCTGTGTACTACATGTTCCATTCAAAGTAGTGTACACACGTGAACTCTTTGTGGGTACCCCCATGGCTTAATTAGAGGTGTCAAATCGAGCGCGTGGGTTGAATTTAGTTTGACCCATCATAATAACTTGAATCGAAACAAGTTAATCTTATCGACTTGAGTTGAATCATGTCCGGATCAATTTAATTCGAGTAAGATTGGATCATTTTTTAGTTTAGCTGATTTTGAGTTAGGTCTATTTTTATTGAAGGTGCTTTTTATGTTTAGGCTATACTCGTATTCTGACTAAGTTTATTACGGTATTAGATTAATATCTAGTTATGTTCACTATGTGAAGTATATTTGCTCTATTCATTTTGTGTTAACCGAGGTTATGAATTTTTCTTACATAGTGGCAAATTCAATGACAAAGAGCGATGATGTTGAAAAAATTAATGTAATTTGCAAAACAAAATATTGTTGAGAAGCTGATTTTTAATTGTGTATTGTTTTATTGAATGATTTATGAGATGTCTATTATTGTACCCATAATAATAATTCTATTTAGAAAAAATTGTAAATAACCACCTCTCAATTCACCTAAAATTGATTTTACCACCTCTTTTTTTTTTTTTTTAAAAAAAAAAACCGTTTTTAAAAGTTAAAAAAAAAAACAAAAAAAAACACCACCTCTTTACATTTAGTTTCATTTTTTAGAAATAAAACATTGATTTTCGTGCCAAAACTTGGTCATTAAGGTTTTAGGGGTCACTTTGGTCATTTGGATCAATGTGAGGTCATAATTGAATTTTTTTTATTGGAAATGCCTCATTTTGCATGTTGAAAATTACCTCAATTAGTGTGAAACTCTCAAAATGAGGCATTTTCGATACTTTCTTGGGTGTTTTGACCTAAAATCGGATCCAAATGACCAAAGTGACCCCCAAAACCTTAGTAGATCAAGTTTTGGCACGAAAATCGAAAACTTTTAGTTAAGAGGTAGTGATTTCTATTTTTTATTTTTTATTTTTTTTAACATTAAGGGGTGATTATTTAAAATAAAAAAAGGGGTGGTAAAATCATTTACAATTTTTCACTCTATTTAAATATCATTGTATCATACATCGTACGATTATAATATAATATGAGTGGATATTTTAGCAAATTAGTTGCATATGAAACCTAATCACATAGTTTTAGGTCAAGTTAAGAATAAGTCTATACGGAGTAACAAGTTGATAAAAAGCAAGTCAAATACAAATGGGTCACAAGTCATAGTTATTCTTATCACATATGTTATTATATTAATTGTGTTGAATATATGCAGGTTGATTTTGAGTCAAGTTTATTATGAGTCAGGTTATATTCAAGGCCAGTGAAAATCAAGTTTGGGTTGACTTCAGGCCAGACCAATTCAAGTCGAGTAACATGTCGGTAGCTTTTAGGTTAGTATTAAAGTGGGTGCCAATTGGATGGTACCAATGGTTGAGTCATTTTTTGATAGCTTGAGGCTTGATCCTTGAGTTATAGGTTCAACAGAGTAACTAAAAATATGAGTCGTGTTGATAAGTATATTAGGTGACTCGTACTTCGTAGCTTTGTCCGCCCGATCGGGCGGACATTGCCCGGTCTGACCGGGCGGAAGAAGAAGAGGTGCCTGGCAAATTCGTTGAAGAAGCTGCTCTCGCGCCCGACCGGGCGAGCCTTCGCCCGACCGGGCGAGCCTTCGCCCGATCGGGCAGACCTTGCCCGGTCTGACCGGGCGGTGGGGGTTGGATACGTTGAAGCATTCGTATGGAGTTTTCTTCTCGCGCCCGATCGGGCAGACCTTGCCCGGTCTGACCGGGCGGAGAAGGAAAAATACGGAACGCGGATTTTGCGGTTTTAGGTTATCTTATTTTATTATCTTTTTGCCCAAGTATCTTTTAATTAGGGATTAATATAAAACCTCCCTAATATCAGTATTAGGGTTAAGAGAGACAGAGTGAGAGCCGTTCTTGAGAAATACAAGAATCATCTTTGTAATCTTTGCAGTTTATAGTGAAATCATTCGATCTCGGTGCCCGTGGACGTAGCTATCACATCGATAGTGAACCACGTAAATTCTTGGTGTTGTTCTTATTGTTTGCATTGAATTTCTTTATTGTTTTCTTGTTTGTTTTCGACCTTTGCTTCCGCTGTCGCACAACAATTGGTATCAAGAGCTCAGGTTCAATCCTTGGAGAGTTTCTTGAAGATAACAATGGCAGGAGATTCAACAATAAGAATTGAGAAGTTTACCGGGAAAAATAGTTTCGGGCTATGGCAAATTAAGATGAAGGCTCTGTTAAAACAACAGCAGATATGGCGTCCGTTGGCTCCAAAGAGTACTACTTCGGAGTCAGGAGACGGACCGACTGACTCGCAGTTAGAAGTTATGGAAGAGAAGGCACACTCTACCATATTACTTAGTCTTGATGATCAAATCATCACGGAGGTTGCTGATCAGGAAACGGCGGCTGGATTGTGG